GCCCCCAAAAAACCCATATCGGTCGGGCTCTAATATATATATATATATATATACGCGGGGCCCGGTGCGACCACACCATTTTAAAACACCACCGCACGGCACTGATATATATATATATATATATATATATATACTATTTTTTAAATGTCTCCTGGACACTGACTTCATAGACCTCTATTAATAATGTGCTTGTGTATATCTGTACACACACATTACAGTTTTTCCTTAGTTTTTACAAACACATGACACATGAAATATTTTTTGTGTTGTAATAGTAATAGACCTGGAATTACCTTTCAATGAGGAAATCAGCTAAGCAGCATATATATTTTCTCAGCAGATTACAGCAAAGCCAAGTATAAATGTTTCTTTTTTACTGTTTTGTGTATGCAGACACAAGATATCAATTCTCACATTATATTTGCCATAAGGGCCTCATTGATCATAGAGAGTTTACAAAGTAAAGAGTTGAATAATGAGTATCCATAAAGGCAGTTTGCACCAGTGAATCATTTTGACAACTGTCCACCCTGATGTACTGCATACCAGAAAGCCAGTCTGCCGAAAGAAGCCTTGACCCGTTCAGGTGCATCGCTGCTTCTCTCCAACTCCCTCCCCAAATCCCAAAACTATCCAAGCAACGTCTGTTACAGTAATGCTTCTCTCACTCAAATTATGCTACCCTTTTAAAAATTCAGCTCTCTTGTGCATACAACATTTATTGCATTGTCTGTCAAAAACCACTTACAATATCCACTTCAGTGCATGTACATCTGCTGCTATCTGCATTCAAAACTCAAAAGAATTGGCCTTTACTTCAAAAAAACTTTTTGTCATTCTACAAAGCAGGTGCCATCAGAGTGCCTTTTATGCATATGTGTAAAAATAACTTTAACTCATGTCAACTTTTACTGTACTGTATTTTAACATAGATATTTTCCTTCTTTCTTTATGTGGATGCCTTTTTGACGTGTTCTTGCTGTATTGGCAAATATTCACATTTCATGAAAACCAAATATATGAAAATAAAAAGTAGCATTTGTCTTTTATTATCTCTCCATAGACTTTTGCCCCCAGCTTGTGCATTAACTAGGGGTTTCCAATATATATGCCTTTACTTCAAAAAAACTTTTTGTCATTCTACAAAGCAGGTGCCATCAGAGTGCCTTTTATGCATATGTGTAAAAATAACTTTAACTCATGTCAACTTTTACTGTACTGTATTTTAACATAGATATTTTCCTTCTTTCTTTATGTGGATGCCTTTTTGACGTGTTCTTGCTGTATTGGCAAATATTCACATTTCATGAAATCCAAATATATGAAAATAAAAAGTAGCATTTGTCTTTTATTATCTCTCCATAGACTTTTGCCCCCAGCTTGTGCATTAACTAGGGGTGTCCAATATATATCGTCTATGATAATATCATAATTGTTGTTTAAACCATATGCTATTTGACATCATCGAGTATATTGCAAAAACCAAACAAAAACACACCCAGAGACTGCACGCGTACATGAGATGTAGGTTAGGCTGGCCGCACACTAGAGGATTTTAAGGCCGATTTTAAGCCCGATTTGCACCCCCGAACGATAGGGGGGTGTGGCCCGATTCGTGGCTTGTCGCAAACTATTTTTTTGTCCAAATCATCCTCTATTGTGTGGTGTCATAACAAGGAGAGCCAGCTGACAACGTTGATTGTATTCTATTTGTTTTTCTTCTCTAGTCACGTTTGATCTCGCCAGTCTCCGTGAGATCACGTGTCACTGTGAAATCGTTCCTAGAATCGTCCAGTGTGTGCGTTCAGAGGATTATAAGGCTAAAAATCGGTTGAACCGTCTTCATGTCTGTGGTCTCCCACGGTTTTAAAATCGGTTAAGATTTGAAAATCGTCTAGTGTGCAGCCAGCTTTAGACTACTGAGCGAGCACATTTAGAGTTCACGCTTTTACTGCCTGATTTAGTCTATTAAAATACTTTTTAATATTTAAAAATATTAAAAATGGGGGAAAAAGTTGGCAAAAATGACACTGGATGACTTTTATATGCCTTTTATACAGAGTTCTGGCATGAAACTCTAGATGGCGCAGTCCGATAGGTCTAGCTCAATCTGACCTGGCGACATCATTGTCACATGGCAGCTGATTGGTTCTCTCCTGTATCGGTAGCCAATGAGCTCGCTGCTCAATATTCAAATACCTGACTTTTGTTTGCTGTAACAGTTGGCAGCGCACTTCAGAAACCCTCCACCTTCCCCAGCTCCACCTGTATAGATCTGCTACGAGGTGATTTATGTATGCTATATGGGGGTTATTCATATGTGTTATATGTGCAGCAGCAGTATTTCTTACATGCTTACATGCATGTTGTGGATGTATTGGCAGTAGCAAGTATCGGTACTTGCTCTGCCGCAGCAGCAGCAGCATAGCAGATCTATTCCGCCAAGACCAAATACATTAACATTGTCATGTACATTACCATGCCAATCCCTCAGAGAGTTGTCATGACAGAAATATTTATCTCATCTGATATATTTAATATCACACGAAGAGTAGTTTTTTTTCTCCAAATATCAGCAATTGCAAATGTGATATTGATTTTATAAAACAGTCCAATAAACAAGAAGTTAATATTAGTTTACTTAAATTTTAGACACAACAGTTTCCTGTTTTAAACTGTTTTTGTCAGTGAAAATAGTTTCAAACAAAGCCACAGCAGAAACAGCAGAACTGTTTTGAGTCTCTGAGCAAAACACGACAGTGTTTTGTTACTGAATACTGAATAATTTCTGTTACTCCTGCAAACTAACCACCACACAGAATATGAAGAATATCAAAAGCTTTGGGAGTCAGCTGTACACGGCAGTCCTAAACCTGTCAAAGTACCAACACAATAACACACTCAGTAAAATATTGTTTAATTATTGATAAAATTCCAGAAAATATTGAGATATCATTTTTTGTCATTAACACACACCTCTAGTGTTAACCCTGTTACCATTATATATTTAAGAATATGTAAGTAACAAAAAACGTTTAGCATCTTCCTTTCAAGAAGTGAACAGTTACAGCCTCCTCTTTTTAAATACTTTTTATTGTTATTTTAAAAATACCTTAAACACAAGGCTTATAATGTCAGATTAAACTAAAATAGTCAACCTTGTTATCTTTATGGAGGCATAATTATATCACAGTGTATACTGAAATAAATTAATTTGGCTTTAAATGTCACAACCTAATTTATTAACTCTTAAACATATTGTTTGTTTGATAGAATGTTTAAAATCGTGGTAACACTTTAGAATAGGGAACACATACTGTATTCACTATTAACTAAGAGTTTTCCCTGCTTATTAATAGTTAGTACGGTAGTTGTTAAGTTTAGGTACGGGGTGGATTAAGGGATCAAAATACGGTCATGCAGAATACGGCATTAATATATGCTTTATAAGTACTAATAAATAGCCAATATGCTAGTAATATGTATGCTAATAAGCAACTAATTAATAGCGAGAAATGGTCCTTAAAATAAAGTGTTACCAAAGTCGTTTACATATTTACTTTTTAAAATCCCTTTGTAAAACTGGAAAAGGCACCCGTTTCATAGAATGACCCAGTTAATAAATGTTTACCGTGGCTTGCAGCACAAATACAGAAATTGCCAGTCATATTACACCTATTTCAGGTGTGAAAATGGCTTTCTGTCTAAGTGAATCCCATGAGATGTGCAAATTTGACTGTTTGCACATCTGCTCATTATTTTTGGAGCCTGCAGCTAGTTCTGTTGCCCACATGATTTGGCACTTTCATAAGGAGTCCAGTTCTTTGTAAATTAATTGTAATTACTTTTTAACAAAGAAAAATGACTATCCTGACTAATTACCATTTCAAGACAATGCAATTCGATTGAATTTTCTTGAAGTAGAAAGTCTTTGATGTAAAGACTTTTTAAAAGCTTTCTTTCTTTCTTTCTTTCTTTCTTTCTTTCTTTCTTTCTTTATTTATTTATTTATTTATTTATTTCAACAAGATTCCCAGGAATTTTATTAGCATAATTACATAGAGAAAAGCAGTCATATTAGTGTCCTCCACCCCTCCATCTTTCAATCCTCCAAAATAAATCAGTTGGAACCTTGGTACAATTAAATACAGAACTTGTAAAGTAAATTGTTTCTCATTTCTATCAGGTCTTTATTAAACTGCAGATTATCTGTGTAATACATTCAACGCATTAGCTTGCAAAACAGATGACCTCTGGGCAATTTTTTTGTGACAAAAATGGGACTTTTTATCTCAAAGGCTGCAAGTGGAAGATATATGCAGTTGTAGCTAAGGCTCTTTTTTGTGTGTTTTTGGAAAAAAATACTAGCTATGGAGGGGGGAGGTTTATTTATGAGTCTATAGTAGTTACAATTTATGTTGCATGATTGACAAAAAACAAGAATACAAAAAAAGTTCCTGATGCATTAAGTAATACATGGGCCAATTCTCAGATATATTTAGATTTTGACAGATATATTTAGTGCTGTGTATTTGTATTAATTAGTGTATAATTTAACAGCAAATGAATTGCTGATAATGATTTTTTTAATATATATAATTGTATTAGAAGGACTGTTCCAGGGGACATTTGGAATTGTTTTGGTTTGGACTTGAATTGGTTGCATTTCTGTGAAATGAACTTGGCAGCTTTAGGCTATGAAAGCAAATTGAAATTTTAATGCAATGCAGTGCAAGTATGCAGCTAAGTTTCAGATGTGGTCTCAGATTTTTTTTTTTTTTTAATGTGTTTAGTTTTATTGTCGTTTTTAGGTTTAGTTTATTTGAGATTTTGACAGATATATTTAGTGCTGTGTATTTGTATTAATTAGTGTATAATTTAACAGCAAATGAATTGCTGATAATGATTTTTTTAATATATATAATTGTATTAGAAGGACTGTTCCAGGGGACATTTGGAATTGTTTTGGTTTGGACTTGAATTGGTTGCATTTCTGTGAAATGAACTTGGCAGCTTTAGGCTATGAAAGCAAATTGAAATTTTAATGCAATGCAGTGCAAGTATGCAGCTAAGTTTCAGATGTGGTAAGTAACATATGGGCCAGTTCTCAGGCCATTCTCTTCAGCATCCTCTCTTAAAACCTAATATAAAGGTTAATAGAGCAGCTTTAAGCTCTTCTGGCTCTCTCAGTTTAATAAGCAGGATGTGAGACAGATTAAAGCAGAACAAAATGCTCCACACTAACGCACATTATTATGTAGCTTTGAGGTGGTGATTGAGGGATGCTTCTGATAGCATTAGTCAGGAGTCTTAAGCCTATTATGCCGCTACAATGTTAAATAGAAACTTCATATACAAATATAGAGGAAGATGTTCACATAGAATCTTGCTGTAAATGATTGCTTTAATTTGTACTGTACATGTTTCAGTAATTTTTACAGTATAGTGCTACTGTTATGAGTGCAAATCTGAACATATTTGCTCAGTTCTGCAGTTAATCATTTATTCTTATATTAATTTTAAGTAATGTATTCTATGATTAGTGTTGGTTACATTTGGTTTACATTGATTAGTGCGGTTACACAAATCAACTGATTAGTGTTGGTTACATTGGTTACATTTCTGTGATAGGAACACAGAAGCTTTATAGGCTATGAACGCTAAATCAAAATTTTGATACAATGCAGTGCAATTTGCAAATATTAAATGTCAAGTAAATTAGCATTCTGTTTTGAGTTTAGTGCATTAATAAAAGGTACACAAAATGTCTATCAGTCTTTTTTTTTTTTTAAGATTTACAGCTTTAAATCAATAGACTGTCTATTAAAAATAAATAAATAAATAAATAATATACGATCAGAGAAATAAATAAACCAACAAAATATTGATTGCCAACCTCATTATGTCAAACTAAATATTGTATGAAACAATGAATTTTGAAATAACTTTAGTTAATAAATAAATAATTAAAGAGTGAAATTAATAATTAAAATAAGTTTTTACTACAGTGAATGTGAATCTCAATCCAGCAGACAATATACATTATTTAAATTGTTGGATGCAGCCAAAAAAGCCCAAACCTCTGAGATGGAAAAGACCATATCACTATTTTAAAAAGGGCATGTAGACTTTTAATGTGTTTAAAGCTCACTACTTTTCATGCCATGTTTAATGTTTAATTTTATGTTAGATCTTACTTTATCTAACATATGTGCTAGTTCTCACAATAAAATGGAATTTGTGGACAGTACCATATGTACAGCTTTATTCAGTATTTTTGTAATATACCAATATATGCCATATAACTTTTATATTTAGCATTCATGGGTTCTGCTATTTTAGCTGATGTCTATCTTAAAATAATTCTGAAAATATCTATTCAGTCAAAATCCAATCAAAATAATGCATCACACTGCTGCTGTCACAGTGCCAGTGTTATTTTAGCATCATTGATATACCGTACTATTGTACTGTTTGTAAATATTTTGAATACTATTTTATTTGTATATTATTTGTTTTTCATCTTCATTTTATTTTTTTAAGTAATTGAAAATTAAATTAAATGTGTTGTGTTTTTGACATTTTTATTTTTTTTTTTTTTTTTTTTAATGTGTTTAGTTTTATTGTCGTTTTTAGGTTTAGTTTATTTGGTTTTTAATTTTTTTTTTTTCACTTATTCAATTTAGTTTTTAGTTTAATTTTGTTAACTTTAGTTCAAACTAAACTAAAATGATAAATGAAATTTAAAAAGTGTTTTTGTTAGCACTTGACAATAAGATTCTATTTGTTAGTTAAAGGGGTCATATGATGCGATTTCAAGTTTTCCTTTCTCTTTGGAGTGTTACAAGCTGATTGTGCATAGATAAGATCCCTGAAGTTGCAAAGACTAAAGTCTCAAAACCAAAGAGATATTCTTTATCAAAGTTAAGACTCTGCCACGCCCCCCTAAAACGGCTCATTCTAACACGCCCCCACATATCTACCACACTATATGGAAATATTTGCATAATGCCACCCAAATGTTCACGCA